CCCCAAAACCCCAAAACCCCACAATGAAGGATTTTCAAATTACAGCAAATTGAAATTTATGATCAATTTGAAAGATTTAGTTTATATCTAATCCACTTTATATTTAATAACTTAAGTATAAACAAAAAATTATGGCTACTAAAGGTTTAGGGTTGAATATCAGAGAAATTACTGACAGATACAGGTTAGATTAAAAAATTGGTAAAGGTTCATTTGGCGAGGTTTATCAAGCTTAATTGTTAGATGATAAGCAATAAGTCATTTTAAACAAAAGTGTGGCATTGAAATAGTAAAACCTCTATAAATTCGTAGAAAATGCTAACGCTAAAGTTAAGGATAAATTCACATTAGAAATTCTCAGATTGATCAGAGAAATTGCGACATTCGAGTTGAGACATCCAAATATTGTTGAAATAGAAGATGCCTTTCTAACTTCGGAAAATAAATTTGTAATTACAAGTGAGCTAGCTGAAACTAATTTAGAAACATTCGTACAAAGGAAATTGAACTATGAGAAGAAGCCTTATAATGTTTCAGAAATTTCTTTTATCATGCTCTAATTACTAGAAGGATTGGGTTATATTCATGATAGTGGCTTTATTCACAGAGATATAGCTCCAGATAACATTCTAGTCTTTAAAGATGGAATTATTAAAATTTGTGATCTTGGTATCGCTTCCTTTGGAAAGCATACTACTCTAGATGCTGGCAAAGATACTCATAAAGCTCCAGAGATCAAATTAGGCAGACAGTATGATAATAAAGTTGATATTTGGTCTCTAGGTATTGTACTTCACTACCTAATGACGGGATCAGATAAAGATAAAAAAGGCAACTTTATAAATAGTATACTTTCAGATCCTGAAGGTCCAGAATAGAAAATCGTATTGCCTGATTAGTATTCTCAATTCCAATAAATCTTCAACAGAATGACAACATTCAAGGCTAATTTAAGACCAACTATCGAGGAATTGAAAGGAGAATTTCTTAAACTAGTTCAAGATAAGCAATAATACTACAGGTACTAGAATTATGTGATGAACTATTACTATACTCAAACCAAGCAAATAGTTGAAACTCAAATGCAGCTATTCAAAAAGAACGCTGATTACCACTTAAAAAATAATCAAATCAAAAACAGTGAGGCAACTCAAAATAACCTTACAGATCTGGTCAAGGATTTGAAATCATATGACGAAATGATAAAGTCCTACATAAATAATAAGACTGAAGTGAAATTGCAGAAAAAAGTTGCAACTTTACAAGTCTAATATGAAGAGAAAAAGCGTAATGATCAGGTAAAGAATGAACCAGAAGTTAAATCTTTAACAGCGCAATAAATATCCCAATGCGAATTAGAATACAGAAGATTGGTAGACAAACATGTTAAATAATAAGGAAATGCGAATGAGTTAGTCTTTAAACTTAATGGTTAATGCAAATTGCTTTACAAAGCAACAAGAGATGGTTTCAAAGCGGCTGATTTCCATTCAAAATGTGATAACCAGAGTCCTACGGTAAGCTTTATCTTGAGCGAGTTCGGCCTGATCTTTGGTGGTTACACATCTATCCCGTGGACGGCTCCAGAGAACCTTTATTAAAACAATTCTGATGGAGAAGCTTTTATCTTCTCACTTTCTAAGAATACCGTGCACAATCAACATCAAAACACTGGTTATGCGGTATCTCACTTCAAGAATCAGATGATGTAATTCGGAATGTCTGAAATACAAATTAAGGATGACTGCAATGAAAAGAGAACAAACAGTTCTAAAATTGGAAGTACATATTAGACTAGTAATGGCATAGAGTTTGGATCTCAAAAGTCTGAGGATTATCTAGCAGGGGCGAAGAAATTTAAAGTCTTGGAAGTTGAAGTTTACTCAGTAGCTGTTTGATGAGAGATTGATTATGACGATTAAGACAGAATTTATATAACTAATCAGCTAAAATATTGATTAAATTATTAATATACTTGCGATTTTAAGTTTACTCTGTTGATGGGGTTTTGGGGTTTTGGGGTTTTGGGG